CTCCTTGAGCTTTTACTTTCAACCACTTCCAGTTGTTGTCCCAGGCTGCTATTCTATACAGAGTAAAGACAACATCACACAAAACACTCCCTCCTTTCCCCTTAAGTGTAACAGCTGTCTTTTCAATATGAAGTCAGTCTTTTGACCTGTATTCTGACCTTCATCTTCATTCAGAAACCTTACTGCTACTGATAATCCCCCTCTTTTCCTTAGAATATTCAGATTTTCCGTCAACTAGATGCTGCTCATTGGCTTGCAGACATGTTTAACTTTATTTTTCCATTAAAAAAAAATTTAAAACAATACATCCCCTGAACTCCGCCTTCCCGGCTATCCAGCCACACTCAACTTTTTCTGGTTGCTTTTCTCTCTACCTCCTTTTCCAACCAGAGATAAATGTGTTTTTGGAGAGACTGATTTTTCGTATTCTGTAGTCTTGGGCCCCTTACTTAATCCCTGTAAAATGGGAATAATAAACCTACCCCACACAACTTGTGAGAAATAGGTGAATCAATATACATAAAAGACGTAGGACAGAGCTGGACCCACAGTAACTGACCGACAGTTAGCAATATAGTCATTGCTGATAATATATCATATCCTTCCATTTATCCAGTCAGTTGACATCATAGAATCATCCTGAATTCCCTCATCCCTCTGTTCCAACCCATCCTTAGACTCTGTTTATTTTCACTTCTCAAATCTCTCTTGTTCTGAACATTTTCCTCTGTCTCTGCTGTCCTACTCCCATCATCTCACATGGATCAAAATTAAGAGCCCCCAATGGTTTTCTGCATTTATTCATTTTATTTCCACAAACTCTCTCCTTATCACAGCCAGAGTGAACTATTATAATTTCCTATATGAGATTACCACCTAATTTAAAATATTTCACATTGTTATGATAAAGCCCTCAAATCTACTACATGGTCTAGAAAATCATAAAGATGTGGTCCCTACATACTTGTTCAAACTTCTTTTGCCCTCTGCTCTTATAATGCATATCAACTCTCACTTCTTCAAATGCATTAGCACTCGCCTATCATTGGTGCTTTCCATTTCCTGTTCTCTCTACTGGAATGTTGAATGATACTCCTATTTCTCTTGGCCTAATTAATTCTTACTCATCGTTTATGTTTTAACCAAATGGTCACTTCCTCAAAAGAAGCCTTCCTTGATCTCCCAGAACAGGTTCTCATTACTCTATGTTCCTCAAAGTTGGAATTTCACATTTATATGATAATTATTTCAACAAATCCCCCCAATAGAATTTAAGTTTCATAACAGTGATGACTATATCTGTTTTTGCTCTCCATTGTATACCAAGTGCCCAACACAGCACACGGCACATAGCACTCAATAAATATATATTGGATCAATATTTAACTTCAAGTTCAATGCTGCAAAGAGTCCCACTGCTTGTTTAAAAACAAAATACTTCTGCACTAGTCTAGAATGCTGCCCAGCTTATTCAAGTATGGAACATGGCACTAGAAACTAAATATGAATGGCCTTGGGCAAAGGGAAATCACTGTAGTAACACTGAAAAGAGCAAGGATGGGGAATTCCCTGGTGGTCCAGTGGTTAGGGTCTGGTGTTCTCACTGCCAGGGGCCTGGGTTTGATCCCTGGTCAGGGAACTAATATCCCTTGCGGACCAACAGCCTTGTAGACAAAAAAAAAAAAAAAAGAGCAAGGATGGACAAGTGAGAATTGGGGCAAGATTTTTTGGGGCGGGGGGGGGGGGGGGGAGTTGGTTACTGTTTTTGAAACCTACCATTTTATGGCACTACAATTGTTCATGAGCAGTTGACAGCCAACGTTAAACTACAATAAAACTGACGCACTTAAAAACAAAAGAACAAAAACAGAATAGCTTTAAAGCAGTAAAAGGACAGTATATCAGTTCATTTTCAATGAAGCTCTCGATGGCTCTGAACAGTAAATCACTTTAAAACTAATACTGACTCAGCAAATGCTGAGGGAAAGGAGGATGTGACAGAAGATGTGCTGTGTAGCTGTTATTTTAAAGAAGGCGTGAACAGGCAGAAAACCATGTTTCAAGGCAGAGAGGTGAGTTTTCATAAAGCACTGGTTCTTGATGTTCGTTCTACTCCAATACCTACTCCTGCTACTACTACTATTACCACTACGACTGTCCCACCCAGTACCTGTGATTCCAGCACAGCTGTTCCCAAGTGGCTCACCACGGCAGGGATTCTCAAGCAGGGGGAAGTATGAGAGAGACATGAGTAATTAAAAATGGCACTACCTCAAAATATTATGAATTCTTTGCCCTCCCCCTCCCTTCTCTCCAAATATAACATGGGAAAAAGCAGTCATATAGATGCAATTTATGTATTTTTTTAAGTGCAACCTCTGATTTTTTTTGTAGCAAAACTGTCTTCCTAACTACTATATTAATATTAAATTAACTACCTAAAGACAATAACTTAGCAGAAGAAGGGCAATCTGGAAGGATGCTCAAATTAAATCTAAGTTACTCTTGGAGGTATCTGTTTCTTGATTATAAAAATATTCTATTATGGTAATATGGTTTAAGTATTAATCTCTAAAACCAACGAACTTTGGTGCACATCAGACCATCAGTTCAGTTCAGTTCAGTCGCTCAGTCGTGTCCAACTCTTTGTGACCCCATGAATTGCAGCACACCATAAGTGACCTCAAATATTATGTCTTAGTGTCCATATCCTTAAAGCAATAAATCAATTTAATTCACTTACTAAAAAATAAAACAGGGCAAGAAAGTATGAAATCTTTGCTAAAATTTCAAGATCTCAAAAGACTGCTAAAGGAAGAGAGGGCAACCTCTGAAATTCTGCATATGATACAATGGCAGATCTACTTTGAAAGGCACTACTGACAATGTCTCTCTCTCCTCAGCAATACACAACTGATTCCATGAAAACTGTGGAAATTGTTAGAGAAACAATAACCTTACAGACAAAGAAGTCAACTGTAACTGGAAAAACACACAAACAACCCCTATTTTCTAAAATCTTTAAATCAAAAGCTTCAAGGATGTTGAAAAAACATGCTCACATTGTGATAGGCTAGCTTTTCTTGTTTTGAGAAATAAAGCCACCTTCTAAGCCAGGACATGGAATCAGAACACATAATTATGATTTCTGAAAAAGAAACTGCATAATTTAATATAACTCTAAATACTCATTTAAAATATTTAAAGATGAAAAAACTGAGTATCACCTGCTCACAGAACAATCATTTCTCCAAAACTGGATTTTTTAAATCTGACACCAAAATATCAAAGTTTCCTTAAGTCATTTAAAAAATGAATTAAATATTGTTTCATTTTTTAAAATCTGCTTATCCTCAGTGTGTATGTGTGTATACTCACTCAGTTGTGTCCAACTTTTTGCGACCCTATGGACTGTAGCCTGCCAGGCTCTTCTGTCCTCAGTAAAAACTCTCAGTTGTATAGGATGAATAGCAAAAGCTACTAAAGACCATCAAATGCAATGTCACTACCTGAATAAATAACCATCTTCTAGAAGCTACAGCTGAATCAAGAAATCAAGAGATATTTTCACAGATGTAGATTAATAAATGATTAGCTTTATGTCAACACTTCCAACCTTTTCAAAAAGGATAAAAGAAATTAACAGTTCTTTCAGTGAAGAAGAGTCGCAAAATCTCCCATATACAATTCTATGCTAATCAAAGATAAATTATACTACCTTTTTCAAGACGGAGAGGAAGAAGAAAGAACGCTAACAAGGAGAGAATGCTACTACTGCTGCTGCTAAGTCACTTCAGTCGTGTCCGACTCTGTGAGACCCCATAGATGGCAGCCCACTAGGCTCCTCCCTCCCTGGGATTCTCCAGGCAAGATTACTGGAATGGGTTGCCATTTCCTGCTCCAATGCATGAAAGTGAAAGGTGAAAGTGAAGTCACTCAGTCGTGTCTGACTCTTAGCGACCCCATGGACTGCAGCCCACCAGGCTCCTCCGTCCATGGGATTCTCCAGGCAAGAATGCATTTCTGATATTCATATTGATCTGGATCCAGTGGGCATTCTCAATCATCACAACTGATAGTAATGATTTCTTAGAAAATCTAATGTCAAAGAGCTTTGCGTATCATTTATTATCCTATTTTTATCCACTTTAAAATGAAAGACGCATTCTCTTATTTACAATTAAAAAATGCTCTTTATATAATGTTAATCTATCATGATTTCTAAATATTGTAAAAATACGTTAATTTAATTTTCTGCAAAACATGGTAAGTTTTTTGGGAACTATTACTACTGCACTCACACCCACAACCAAGATGAGAGACTTAAGCAAATGATCGGTCTTCACACACAGATGTTGGGAAATCAGTAAAGTACAGACAAAACCTCAATATTAGAAGTCATCTGAATAACCGTAGGGTGCTCTGGAGGTATCTGCCTGTAATTTAAGGACTAACTGTAAACTGAGATAGACATTGATACTATCTTGTTTATTCCATTTTCTTAAGAGCTTTGATCAAATTCCCCTAAATAGTTCATGCAGGCAAGAAATAGCGCTGTCTGTGTGCAACAATGAAAACTAACCTGAAATAGTTCAAAATGATCAGGACTGGTGATATACAAACCTGCAATGTGAAAGCAGATCTAAAAACTCAAATGTTAAAAGGTGAGCTAAAATATTCTTATGACAGAGAATCTTTGAGCTTCAGTTAAGTCTTAGGCTTCTTAACGAAAAGGCACAAGTAGACAGGTGTAATTAGTTTCTGTTTTCTCCTCATAACGATACCAGAAAGGTGGCTTTCAGGACCCCAGGAGACCTACATGTCAACCTACACACCTTTTCCTGCTCTCACCTCACCTCACTCTTTTCCTTCACACACAGACACGCACTCTCCCGTCACATAGGAAGCCCAGGTGCCCCAGTTAGCAGTTTTCACCGGTACGTTAAATGAAGTCTGATCACTGGAGCTGAATGCCACCCGCTCCAGGGCTCAAGGCTCACCTCTAGCTTGTGGTTGATTTGGGACACAGTCTGGGCTTTGTGGCAAAGCTGCGCAAAGCAGGAGCTCAGGCTGGTCATCTTCTGTCTCCCCTCATAAGTGATGTCCGCCTGGTCCGGATCAATCTCGCCCAAGAGCAGATCCACGTCCACGAAGGCCTTGTCGAACTCCTTCTCCAGTACCTCCAGCCATCGGAACATAGATACCCCGCCAGGGGAGACCCCCACGGCGCAAGAGGCTCCCCCTGAGCCCCCTCCGGCCCCTGCCGGGCATGGACCGCCCGCCGACATGGCGCCGTCTAGGGCCTCCCCCGACTGCTGCTGACCCCGTCGTCCACCCCGCGAGAGGAACTGCTGGGACCGCGGGAAGCCCCGCGCACGCACGCTCCGTCTGTCCCCTCTCTTCCCCTCGCGTGGCTAACGCCGGCTACGCAGCCCCAGAAGGGCAAAAGCAGCAGAGCAGAGGCGGCGGCGGTGGCACACGGAAGACGCGGGCCGTCCCACCTCTCGGCCCGCCCCCGCCGCGCATGCGTAGAAAAGACCTAGGCAGACGCAGCCCTGAGGGACTAAGTGGGCGGGGCTAGGGTGCGACCTTGGCCTATGAAAAGCCTCCGTCTGGGACCGGCCTGTCAACGGCCATGTTGAGAACTGGCAAACGCCAGCTTGAATCCCCGAGACACAGAGACGCATGGTGTCGGCTTCCAAGTTGGGAAGGCCCGGAGAAGAGAACGGTGTCCACGTCGCAGAGAGGAACAGCTTCCACCCCTTTGACTTCATAGTGGGCGGGAACCGTTCTAAAGTCGTCCGACAAAGTTGCCGCGGTGACATTCTGTGGCAGGGAAGGAAGAGTGAGAAAGGGCCGTGTGAGCATGCGCAGTGGCCACGTTTTCCCTTTTCCAGTCCAGTTCCTGTTACGGGTGAGGTGGGTGGGGTGGGTGGACACACTTGCTCCTTTCGGTAAACCAGGCCTTAATTTCTGGATGGAAACTGCCTAGAACTGCAAGTTGAAGGACAGCGGCTCACCAGGTGTTGCTTAATTAAGCGGAGTCCTTTCCTTTTCGGATTAAAAGTCAGGCAGCCTTGAGTTAAAGTTTTAAGTCCTATCCCCTATTAGCTGTACTATTTTAGTTGGATTTTTTAACCTCAGAGCCTCAGTTTCCAAATTTTATTTCGCTCAGGAATAAGGTAAAATTCTTAGCTTCTGTACTTGGCACTTGATATTCCTTATTATCACACCACAGGTTATACATTTCCAAAGCAACTACCTAAAAAGATGTTCTTATAAAAAAAAAAAACTTGCATAGTGTTACTACACGTTACATTTCAGTGAAACAAAATTATGAAGATTTACATATTCATAGGCAGATTGAATGCAGAGACCTGTTGAGGCATTGGGGACACAAAAATGAATGAGACGTGACCCTCCCATTAGCAGAGCACATAGCTACAACTTTAATGTGAATTTTGGGAGTGTTGAGCAGCTGTTCTTTACCATTCCACTTACTCACTCTCAACCCCCTTTCAGCCCAGTCTTGAAAAAGAAGGAGAAAGTAGTCTGATACAGTAGGCTGGTGAGAACTATATCTCATAGGAGATATTGCCTAAGGGAATATTTCACTGGTTAACTACAGACTCTCCCAGTTAATCTCCATCAAAGTCTGCACTGTGGGTCCCTCACTAATGCCAGTGAGTAATAAAAAAATCATAGCTTTAGTTTGCCCTCTGGGTCAGGGCAGACTGTTCAACATATCAGTCAATAAAGTTCTTTGGCTTCAACAAACTTGGCTAAGCAAAACTACCCAGAGATCCTTTCCTTGAGCTTAAGTAGGCACATTCACACAGGTTTTACCCAGAAATAATATAAAACTAAGATTTGCATTTCCCACCCCCCAACCTCTGTTCCCAAATTAACTTAATTTTTATCTGCAAAATTTGCAAGAACATCATTACTACAGCCACCAAGTTCCCAGCCACTTTCCCTATTCATAGTACAGTTAGCAATCCCATTTCCAGGAATTTAAAGTAGAAAAATAATGTTAAGTTGGGTTGAGGGGTCACATACACATGAAATCACAATAATAGCTTTTAGTTATTGAATACATACTCTGTGTTAAGCATTTTGCTATTTGCTTTGCTTCTTTGACTCTCACAAAATACTGTGAGTTAGCTGTTGTCAGGTTTTTATAAATGAGTCACAGAGAATTTAAGTATCTTGGTATATACCTAAAAATCCACTGGGGTGAGATTTCAATCTAGATGTCTTTTTTTCCAAAGTCTTAGCTGTTAAAACAGGGTATAGAAGGATGCAGAAATCCATCTCTTCATGTATAAGTTAATAAGTTGGCAAATCAATCCCAAAGCTTTTTTTAAAAAATAATTCCTTCCCAGTTATAAGCCATATACAAACTGAATATATAAGAACTATTTATCCCCAAAATTAAGCATAATACTCATTTTCTATTGCTTTTTGTTGTTGTTTAGTCACTAAGTCATGTCTGACTCTCATGACCCCATGGACTGTAGCCCGTCAGGCTCCTCTGTCCCTGGGATTTCCCAGGCAAGAATATGGAGTAGGTTGCCATTTCCTTCTCCGGGGATCTTCCTGACCCAGGAATTGAACCTGTGTCTCCTGTGTTGTCGTGCAGATTCTTTACCACTGCATCACCAGGGAAGCCCATTCTATTGCTCACCACTTTCTTTAGTTTATATAAACTACACCTGAAAATAAATTTTTTTTAAAAAATTCAGCTTCATATTGTATAGGTACAACCACAATGAATTTTAAGTATTGATGTGTATTCAGTGCTCTGATCCTTGGTGAATACCTCGATTTTCAGGACTGAAGAACCCGACTCCACTTCTGTGTACAATTTTTACAACCACTTCAACAAGTCACCCCGTCTGTGACTCAGAACACTGTCATCTCATATTGTCCCTGCTCATTACCATGCTATGTAGCAGCTTCCTCATCCCTATGTGCTGCTCCTTGGTGCTACGTGACTATTTACAATGCTCATGTCCTTTGGTAGACATTATCTTTTAACTACCTTGATTGGGGTTCTGCACGTTTGCAAGTCAAAGCCTCCCAGGGACGTGAAAGGCCTGGTTTGATGCTCTGGTGCTGCCATCTGCTGTCTACACGTGTATTGCTTTGCGTTGGTCTTTGGAATTGTATATCATCTCAATATTTGTGGGACTTAATTTCCTGGGATAATAAAATCTTCATACTTCTATTTGCAATTGCATTGGCAGAAAGTTCTAAAAACTGTTTCATGGATGTTTATGTGATAAAAAAAATTTCTTATGTAACTTAAATGTGACAGTCTTAAGAACTTATCCCTACAGAGTTTTACCATAAGGTATTACTAAGAATACAGTGGGGGACTGAGGAAACTGGGAAAAAAGGGAAGATGTTAAAGATTTCTTTGGTGGGTAGTGGTAATTAGCTGTGAAGTTACTGTAGATTTCAACAGGTAGATTCTTTAGCATCTGAGCCACCAGGGAAGCCCAAACATTAATTAGCACATCATTAATTGCAAAGGCACTTTAGTTGAATGGACTTAGAAACCTACCTTGAACTGTAGAGGGAGATTACCATTTATTGAATGCTACTGTGTGCCAGGCCCTGTACTAAGCTTCACATGTTTCATTTATTCTCCAGTAATCCTACCAGGAAAAGAAAGTGGTATTAAGTACCATTGGTCACTGGAAACAGTTGTATAATGAATAAGGGGGAAAATCCACTAGCATTTTACTTGAACAGTGGGAGGAAAGTACATACATACTCATATGTATTATTTATATTTATTCTTATTTGCTAATAATCTGAAACTCTTTGATAAACATGCTGAAGGAGTTTGGGCATTCCAAAGTGACTTGTTAACCTCATTCTCCTGGTTATTTCTCTTTCATACACAAATGGAACAACTGTTTGCCCAACTGTTTTTAGAACTTGAGAGTTTTGGTGCAGTGATGCAGGATTAGCTCAGAAACCTCTTCCAAAAAGAACCTTCTTTTTTTTCTCATGTGGGGCTGTGGACGTGTTCCCTGTCTAGTTTTCTGCAAATACCTGTTATAGCATTTACCATACATTTTTTGGCAACAATAATGGTATCTTGCTTATTTTTGAATCCCAGATCCTAACACAGTGCCTTGAATCTAGTAGGAATGCTGAAAATATGTGTGATCAGTTCAAAAATTAAGACATTACAATAGTCTATTTAGAAAATTGTAAAGACGGTCACTTTTTAACACATACCTTTGACACCTGCTAGAGAGTAAAACTAAATATATTTTCATATTAGCTCAACAGTTAGGAATATCTATAAAATATATGTTCCTTTAAAATCCAAGGAATATTTTTCCCAACCTAAAGAGAAAAGTTCATTTAACAGTGATAGATGATTTCACTAATAAACCCAGCATAATTTAGGCTTCAAAAATTATTTTACTTACTCTATAGTTTAAATTTATAAGATACTAATTTTGCATGGTATACCTAAATCTAAAACAAAACATAGCAAAAAGTAATTTTAAAAATTCCCATTATTTTTAATGTTGTCATACTACCCAAAACAACCTAAAGATTTAATGTGATCCCTATCAAATTACCCATGACATTTTTCACATAACTAGAACAAATAATTTGATAATTTACATGGAACCATGAAAGACCCATTATTGCCAAAGCAATCCTGAGGAAAAAGAACAAAGCAGGAAGCACAATCCTCCCAGATGTCAGACAATACTACAAAGCTACAGTAATCAAAACAGCATGGTATATGCACAAAAACAGAAATATGGATCAATGGAACAGAATAGAGAACCCAGAAATAAACCCACATACCTATGGTAAATTAATCTTCAACAAAGGAGGAAAGAATACACAAGGGGGAAAAGACAGTCTCTTCAGCAAGTGGTGTTGGGAAAGTTGCACAGCCAGATGCAAATCAATGAAATAAGAATATACCCTCACACCACACACAAAAATAAACTCAAAATGGCTTAAATACTTAAATATAAGACATGACCCCATAAAACTCCTAGAATAGAACATGAGCAAAACATTCTCTGACATAAATTTTAGCAATGTTTTCTTAGGTCAGTCTCCTAAGGCAATAGAAATAAAATATTTTTTTAAAAATGGGACCAAATCAAACTTAGAAGCTTTTGCACAGCAAAAGAAACTGTTAAGTGAAACAAAACAACAACTGACGGACTGGGAGAAACTACTTGCAAATGATGCAAATGACAAGGGATTAATTTTCAAAATTTGCAAATAGCTCATACAATTCAATAAGAAAAAAACAATTCAATCAAAAAATGACTCAGTTCAGTTTAGTCACTCAGTCCGACACTCAGTGTCCGACACTTTCTGACCCCATGGACTGCAGCACACCAGGCTTCCCTGTCCATCACCACCTCCCAAAGCTTGCTCAAACTCATGTCCACCAAGTTGGTGATGCCATTCAACCTAAATAGATGCCATCTATTTAGACTGGAAGATCTAAATAGACATTTCTCCAAAGAAGACATACAGATACCAATAGGCACATGAAAAGATGCTCATCATTGCTAATAACAGAGTAATGTAAATCAAAGCTACAATCAGGTACCACCTCACGTGAATCAGAATGGCCATCATTAAAAAGTCTAATAATAAATGATGGAGAGGGTGTGGAAAAAAGGGAACCCACTTACACTCTTGGTGGAAATGTAAATTTGTGCAGCCACTATGCAAAACAGTATGGAGGCTTCTTAAAAAACTAAAAATAGAGTTGCCATATGACCAGCAACCCCACTTCTCGGCATATAGCCAGACAAAACTACTACTTGAAAAGATACATGTACCTTTATTTTCATAGCAGCACTATTTATAATACAATAGCCAAGGCATGGAAATAACCTAAATGTCCATCTACAGATAAATGAATAAAGAAGATGTGATACATATATCAAATACACACACACACACACACACACACACACACACACACACACACACATGGCTTCCCAGGTGGCACTAGTGGTAAAGAACCTGCCTGCAAATGCCAATGCAGGAGATGTAAAACACAGTTTCAATCACTGGGTCAGGAAGATCCCCTGGAGAAGGAAATGGCAACCCACTCCAGCATTCTTGCCTGGAAATCCCATGGACAGAGGAGCCTGGTGGGCTACAGTCCATAGAGATTCAAAGAGTCAGACATGACTGAAGCGACTCAGCACACACACACATATACATACACACAATGGAATACTACTTCTCCATAAAAAGAGTGAAGTAGTGCCATTTACAGCAACATGGATGGACCTAGAGATTATCATATTAAGTGAAGCAAGTCAGAGGAAGACATATGTCATATACCACTTACATGTGGTATCTAAAAATAAATGATACAAATGAACAGACCTATGAAAAAGAGGAGACCTACAGACATGGAGTTGTGGCTGCCAAGGGTGAAGGGAAATGAAGGATGGAAGGATAGGGAGTTCGGGATTAGCAGATGCAAACTATTATTTACAGGATGAATAAATAACAAGCTGTTACTGTAGAGCACAGGGAATTATATTTAATATCCTAGGCTAAGCCATAATGGAAAAGGATATGAAAAAGAATATATGTAGGTATAACTGAATCACTTTGTTGTACAGCAGAAATTAACACAACATTGTAAATAAACTATATTTCAATAAAGTTTACAAAAACCCATATTACTATATTTCTATTCCCTTACATGCTCAAAGACTCACTATAATTGCTTTCCCACTGTTACCTGATCTACATTCTTCATTTACCCTCTCCCACGGTTCCAGGTTTGGGTAAGCACTATCTAAAACCACCATTTATCAACAACACTATCAGAGTTTACTAATCATTGATTCTTCCTCATTCATCCACTGTCAAGTTATTGTTTACATCTCAGACTGTCAGACTTTACAGATCAAACAGACTACCCCCTCATCAGCCTGTCATCTATATTTCTTTTGGATTAGTTCTAAAAGGGACCCAAACCAATTCGATTCTGAACATCATTTAACGTTAATTATCTTTTCTTTGTATGTATATTTAAAAGTACAAACTTTTTTTTGAATGATCTCATTAGAATTTTTATAGCCTTCTAAATGAACAAATCAAAAAGGTATAGTGAACAATGACACAAAAAGCCATGTCACAACCATTGTTAGAAGTATAATTTGTTTGACCCTCAGGTGGTTGCAACTCACTCAAAACTCATTTGACTTTTGTGGTCATGATGAGCAAGAGTGAGGGTGAAAAGACTTCTAGTGTGGACATTTGTCACTAAAAATGGGGGGCTGTCCATATTTGAACCCCAGGACTTCCCTGGTGGCTCAGATGGTAAAGAACCTGCTTACAGTGCAGATCAAACCCAGGTTTGATGCCTGGGTTGGGAAGATCCCCTGCAGAAGGGAATGGCAACCCACTCCAGTATTCTTGCCTGGAGAATTCTATGGATGGAGGAGCCTGGTGGGCTACAATCCACGCGGTCACGAACAATCAGACACGACTGAGTGACTAACACTTTCCTTTGGTTAGGGAATTGTCTCCTTATGTGACTGGAATACTGGAAATTTATTCCTCCTTCCATAATGAACTGAAAACATCAGATAACACTTTCCCAGCTCTGTGACAGCTACAGCATAGGCATATGACCCAGGTTCCCCTAACCAAAAAATTATCCACCTGAAATTTTTAACATGGAGATTGTGAGGCAGGGATTGAGAGAATTCTTGCTGATAGGGAGTAGAGATAAGGTGAGGGTAGCAGCATCCTTTTTCAGTAGCCAGAGGGTAAGCAAGCATATCCAATTTCCAGTTCAGTGGTGGAAGCAAGGGCATCTATGTTGTGTCGACACTATACTGAAGTGTGTGATTCTGACTGAATACATGCGTGCATGCGAAGTTGCTTCAGTTGTATCTGACTTTTGCGACCCAGTGCCATGCCCTCCTCCAAGGGATCTTCCTGACCCAGGGATCCAGGGATCGAACTTGGGCCTCTTGCATCTCCTGCTTTGGCAGGCGGGTTCTTTACCACTAGTGCTACCTGGGAAGCACCCTGGGTACGTAGCCTTGCTTTATTCTTGTCCACTTTAAAATCTGGTTTTCCAGATTTTCCTATAATTCTGTGTGCTACACAACTTCCTTTCAGTAATTCCTTTTCTTCTTAAATTGGTCAGAATTTGTTTCCATTGCTTGCAACTAATAACCTAAACAGAGACAACTATTTCTTTGGCCACAAGCAGCTTTTGGAATTTTAGTTTCCCAACCAGCAGTGGAACCCGTGCCCCCTGCAGTGGAATCACAGAGTTCTAACCATTGGACTGCCAAGGAATTCCCACAACTGTCATTTATTGAGACCCTCTTTTTGCCATTTCAAAGCCTAGGCAGAGAAAAAAAATGGAAAAAAAGGTTTGTTTTGGAGATAGGACTAAAGTCTTTTTTCCCCCCTCCTTGCTCCTTTTTCCAAATTTTCTTTTACTGAGCATTGCTTTCCTATTTGAAAATTCTAAAACTTAAAAAAAATTCTATTACTGGACAAAAGAAATAAATAATAAAGCTTCTTGAAAATCAGAATATTGACAGAAAAGAAACCTCTTATCACTTCCTGTCTCTGATAGTAAAAGAAAACAGAGGACAAACAATCAGAAAAGGGGGGGGGGGGGGCGGCGGGTAGGAAAAGTCTCTTGGGAAAAGCACACAAAATCCTTACTCTGGAAATAGAATGAATTGATTATTAGAGCCAAGAAACTTTTGCCTTCGAAATGACAACTGTAGCAAAGTAAGGTTGAAGAGGAGATCAGAGAAGATTTTCAATATTAGGGTTTCTAAGAGCCATCTGCTGAAGCCATGTGGGAAATTTAGGTCTTCCATTTGGGAGGAAAGAGTTTCTCTAGATAATCTTTCTGCCTAAAATGCTTTGAAATTCCTTCAGCAGGGATGAACACAGCAAGACAAGAAGTCACAATCATGGGGCCCCCAGGACATAGGAAGCTTTCCCTCACCGTAGGAATTCGCAACCAAGTTCCTCCGAAGAAACTAAAGGACTTTCCTTCCATTATTACAAACAAAGATAAAGTTTGTTTGTAAAGATAAACAAACAAAGACCTAGTGTGATGTTTGATTTTCATCTGAGTCAGTAATATTTTTGAACAACAAAAGTATTTTCTATATGTGATATGAGGGTGATCAAGTGACAGATGAATCAAACAAGTTGGTTACCTGTGGCTCTAAACATCTCTCCATTGTACCCCCATTGTTTCACTAGCAATAAAATACTGAAACAACAATAATAAATAAAAAAACCTGTCTATTTTCCCATACTGGTTAACATGAGGAGAAAACACCTGCCCATTGCTGTCCCACAAAAATGGTTTTAATACAGGGTCACAGAAAACACAATGGTTTTATAGCCCACTATAAAACAGCTCTTTGTCTTTTGCCCCTAATTCCCGAGTGTCACATTTAACAAAACAAGGAAACTACAGATAATAGAGGTGTTTGCAGATTAGCCTTTCAAGCCATAAATAACATAGGGTGTTGCTCACCTACAAATATTAAGGCAGCTTATCAATGTTTAAGTGCCTTCCTCTTTGTAATAGTTGCTAACATTTTAACCCAGGCAAATTGGGAATTTTTTCTCTCCTGTCTTCTTACATTGACAGAGTACACATTCATAAGGTTCTATGATCAGATTTCACAGTATAAAAAGTGAGCCATCACCTGAACACTCGCCGGCTACGTGAGAGGCCCTGTTGGGGAGATGTGTCTGCTTTACGCCTTCCTTGCTCTGCTTGGTCTCGGCTATGGCTTCGATCCTCGCTGTCCTGGGCGATGCAGCTGTGACTCAGAGCACCTGGTGCAATGCTACAGGCTCATGGAGGTACCATCGGGCATTCCTGCCACCACCAAGAAGCTCTACATCAGCCATAGCAAAATTCAACACCTTCAGGTAATCACTCATTCTCCTGCAACTTTATTTTGTGAGACAGGGTGAAGGGGTGACTGTGGGGTTGTTAAACTTAATGTAAATAATTGAAACTTAAAAGCGATGGTTATGAAATTGTGTCGCTGCTGTAGCGACCTGTTTGCTCTGTGTACTGAGATGGGTATTTGCCTCTGGATATTTCATTTTAGGGAAGGAGCCCCCCCACCATAATAAAATAATATTTTGTTTTAGTTTTAAAAAATTTTTATTATGTTGTTGCAGAGTAAAAGCAAAGTAATGATTCTTAACAAAAAGAGTTTGAGAGCATATGGCTCCTTCATGTCCCCGTTTTAAAAAGAATTTGTTTGAGGGAAAAAAACGTACTTTTGTTTATGCCATAGAGGGCAGATGATAAAAAAAGAAAAAAAAAGAAGGCAGATGATACTTATAACATTATAAGGCTATCAAGATAAACACAGCATGTGAGAATTATTCATACAAACCCTACAAACCAGCTGGGCATTAATGTCTTTATGGAAACTTATACAAAAGAAATACACGTTTTTGTTTTGCCACATTACTGAAATTCTCATCCTATGTGCTTTTATTTTTTAATTTATTTACTTTTAGTTGATCTATGTGCTTTTAATTAGGCTTTTATTTTCATGCTTTCCTATTCAGAGGGCACTTGAAAAGAGTGCTATAGATCTGTCTGACTTGTATAACATGAAGAAACTTGTTTTTGACCTTTGGTATTTTGAAAGGTATCAAGAGACTAGCGTTCTCATTTTAGTTTTCTCACTAGAGATAGAATTACCTTAGACAAGCAGTTAAAAAAAAATCTCTGGACCTTATTTGTTACTTTTATGACATGAGAAGGCTGGATTAGATTGGGGATCCCAGGAATTTTCTAGATGGAAAATCCTATGGCTCTCTGGTCACCGCTTCTCCCTCATCAATCCAAACCTTAAGATAAGGAAATACCTGTCTATGATCCAGGTGCAAAGAGTCAGCAGATGAATGTACTTTTCCTTCAGAGACACCTCCCTGTCCCCCTGTTTTATTTGGACAAGAAATTTTAATGTAGGTGCCATAAACACTGGGAGTTTGAAATTTGTGGCATGGTATCTATGTCAAGGTTCAATAAGCACCATTGCCTAGTCATCATCTGTTTACTTTCCTCTTCTAATCCAGTAGTGCCCAATGCCTGTCAGGTCTCAGCATTCAAGCAAGACACCCGGTTAAAGGGCAAAATGCTTAAATATTTGTCCTGAGGACTTGAGATACTGAGAGGTGGAGTGTCAACTAACCCTGGTAATGATCCCCCACTGTTGCTCTTCAGTCAATAAGATGAAATTATGTCTCTCCTCAAATTCACTTACTGACTGAGTTCATTTGTCATTGGTTTAGGTTCATTGAACAGCAACATTGATTGGTTTAGGTTCATTGAATAGCAATATTACCACTTCCCTGACTTTAACCTAGTTAATTATCTCTAGGAAGGACTGTTTGCAGCAGAAAAGTTGAAGAAAGAGAGGACTGTTTGGTGAAGGAAGTAGAAAGTTCCAAGCAATAATACTTCTCTTTTCCCTTCTAAAAATCCTTAGACTTTAAAGGACCATAGGTTACTTGTATCTAGTGAATGCAGTGTTATTCTGTTTGAACTATAGAATTGGGTGCGTGTATTTTAAAGAAAAAGCCTTAAAATGGATCTACAGATTAATAACAATAGAAACTATATATATATACACACACATACATACATATGCATACATATATACACATACATAACATATATATGTATGCATGCAGAGCATATTTATATATATAGAATATATGTGTATGTGTATATATACCACAATTTTAAATGTTTCTGTTACTTGTTCATATGATTCAGCTGTCTTTGGGTCCATGAATGCTGTGGTTGAGACTGCAGACAAAAGATGAAAAAGTCAGTTCCAGGAGTTCCTTGGTGGCCTAGTGGTTAGGATTCTAGGCTCTCAACTGATGTGGCCCAGGTTTACTCCCTGGTCAGGGAACATAGATGCTACAAGCCACACAGCACAGTCAAAAAAAAGAAAAAGTATTAAAAATTCACAGTTCCTGCCCTCAAGAAAAGAGGGACTTTATTCACCCACTTATCTGTAAAAATCCCTACTTCTTTTAGGTGCACACCAGCCGACAATAACACTCCGTTTGTTCCTCTGTGAGTCTTGTACTGTGCCCCTGTCTCTCATCCTAAGTCTCCTTCCTCTCCATCCTAAGTTCTGCATCTTTTGGGGTGCCTTTAGTGTTCAATATCCCAGTCCCACACTTCCTTGAACTCATAAAAATTATCTATCTATATTTCCAGTTCTCCACAGCTGTCTACTCTCATTTATATCATAATCCTCCTTATACCTGAAATTTCTCTAATCAAAAATCTTGAATTCCCATATGCGCTCTCTTGTCATTATCTCCTTTCCATTCAGCTGCCATATGCTGCACTTATCACTCTACCTCATGGAGACTTCTAATCCTAGATCTACCCACATTCTCTCAGATAATTAGTTCATTTCTTATTTATCTTCTTTCCCTACCCCTTCCCCTTTTGCGTCCCACAATTAAGTATCTCAACACTTATTCAGCAAAGCCTCAGTCTCTATTTAGCATGATCACTTTCCTTTGTTTCTCCTATACCTGGACAGCTGGTGCTGCTGGAAAGGATAATTATCTGGTGTCATACCCAAGATAACTTTTACCAAACCCAAGGTCATGACAATGCATGCCTGTATTTTCTTCTAAGAGTTTTACAGGTTTAGCTCTAACATATAAAGGACAAATAGAAATGTCTTTGGGATTCCCCGGTGACTCAGTGGTAAAGAACCTGCCTGCAATGCAGGAGCCACAGGAGATGCAGGTTCAATTCCTGGGATCAGAAGATCCCTGGAGGAGGGCATGGCAACCCCCTCCAGTATTCTTGCCTGGAGAATTCTGTGGACAGAGGAACCTGGCGGGTTATAGTCCGTACGGTCGCAAAGAGTTGGACACGACTGAAGCAACTTAGCATGCACACAGAAATGTCTTTCTGGTAGCAGTCAGTGAAAATAATTATACTTTACATCTTTTGTGGAAGAGAAGAAGGTACTTCAAATTCTTCTTGCGTAAGAAATATATAGGGACTTCCCTGATGGCCCAGTGGGTAAGACTCTGTGCTCCCAACGCAGGGGGCCTGGGTTTGATCCCTGGTGAGGGAACTAGATACCCGGTGCCACAACTGCAGTCTCAGTGCTGCCCCTCAGTTGTGTCTGGCTATTTGCAACCCCATGGACTGTAGCCCGCCAGGCTCCTCTGTCCATGGAATTTTCCAGGCAAGAATACTGGAGTGGGTTGCCACTGCCTCCTCCAGGGGATCTTCCCCACCCAGGGAATGAACCTGCATCTCTTGGGTCTCCTGCATTGGCAGGAAGATTCTTTACCACTACCCCACCTGGGAAGCCCCCAGTTAAGAACGACTGCAGCCAAATAAATAAATACATATTTTTTAAAAAGAAATATACAGTTTATCAACAAGGGAGAGATTATGAATTCTTTTTATATTCTCTCCATACTTTCCAGAATTTTTAAATTTTTTACAGAGAACAAATGTTGCTTCGATGATCAGGAAAAATTCCAACATAGTTTAAAAAACTCCTTGCCGGTTTGGTTCACATATGTCTGAGGCAGTCACTGTGAACTTGTGTCAGCTTCCTGTGTGCATTTGACCTAAACAGAGCCTAAGGAAGTTCTGTGACCCTCTAGTGCTTGGAGAGGGGGCTTCCCAGAACTGAAAACTGAAACAAAACAAAGTCTTTTCATGGAGAGACCAGCAGAATTGGCCGCCCTGCTCTGTTTCATTTTACTTGGCTTGCCTTTTTTTTTTTCTTTAACTTTTCATATTATAAGACAACTTTTATCTCCATAAAGTATTAGGTTCACCAAACTGTAAAAATGTGATGGCAGGCATTTTACTTAGCTAAGCTTTCTAAGCCTGTTTTTCTTTTTTTTTTTTTTTCCTAAGCCTAATTGTTAATACCAAGCCACACTTGCCTTGCTTTTTAAGGAATGTTGACAAATGGCCAACAGTCCCAAGGTTAGCTCCAGGGCAAAAGCATCTCTTTCCATATCTCTTGAGTACAATCCTGCTCAGGCCACGGAAATGGAAAAAACAAGTCTGGCAGATTTTTTCCTTTTGTCAGCTTTGCAAACTCAACTGATAAGTTGAAAATCAATGAGTGTCTTCTTCATTGTGGCACCAGAACTCTATACACTTCACAAACAGTAAAGTTAAAAACATATGTGTTAACATTTCTCCAAAGAAGACATACAGAGGGCTAACAAACACATGAAAAGATGCTCAACATCACTCATTATCAGAGAAATGCAAATCAAAACCACAATGAGGTACCATCTCACACCGGTCAGAATGGCTGCCATCAAAAAGTCTACAAACAAAAAATGCTGGAAAGAGTGTGGGAAAAAGGGAAGCCTCTTACATTGTTGGTGGGAATGCAAACTAGCACAGCTACTATGGAGAACAGTGTGGAGATTCCTTGAAAAACTGGAAATAGAACTGCCATATGACCCAGCAATCCCACTGCTGGGCATACACACCGAGGAAACCAGATCTGAAAGAGACACGTGCACCCCAATGTTCATCAGCAGTGTTTACAATAGCCAGGATATGGAAGCAACCTAGATGCCCATCAGCAGACGAACGGATAAGGAAGCTGTGGTACATATACAAAATGGAATATTACTCAGCTATAAAAAAGAACACATTTGACTCAGTTCTAATGAGATAGATGAAACTAGAGCCTGTTATACACAGTGAAATAAGTCAGAAAGAGAAAGACAAATACTGTATATTGACACATATTATGGAATTTAGAAAGAAGATGATAACTACAACCTTATATGCAAGACAGCAAAAGAGACACAGATGTAAAGAACAGACTTTTGAACTCTGTGGGAGAAGGCGAGGGTAGGATGATTTGAGAGAATAG